TAAATTAAATGGAGCCACTTAGTACTTATTTTCATCCAGCATTCCATTATTCTTCAAGCTAAACTATAGCTACTGGATTATTACTTAATTTTATTTGTTATTATTATTTTATTGTTTAATTTGACCAGAGAGAGAGAGAAAGGGAAAATGAAAAACCAGGCTGCCAGGTGTGGTACTCAAACTGTGGTTGGCCTTGTGGGAGTCCAGCACCTCAATCACCGTGATTATTTTTTATTGCCACAAAGCACGTGAACTTGCCAGGGAGCGAGAACTCTTCCAAATAGGGTGTGGTCATTCCACTACCCACTTTCCTCTGTTTCTCCATCCTTTAGGATTTTGAGCACACATGCACACATGCCTGGCTTATTTTTCAAGCCACCAGGGCCAGGATTTGAGCCAAGTCAGCCACATGGGATCTGACTTCCTATGCACAGCATTTAATCAGCCATCTGATTTTTAAAACAGGTTCAAGAGAAGAGGTAGTAGTGAAGGTGGGAATAGCAAGCAAAAGAATATATTCATTTCAGTCTTTGGAAATCTTGGTACTCCTCACTGTGGCTTACTGTGTCTTCGTTTTAAGGAAAACCACCTATGGTTAAGGGGTAGTAGAGTGTTGGGGTTAAAGGCTCAGACTGCAGAGTTAAGTTACCAGGGTGTGAATCTCATTTTTCTGTCACTTTGTAGGAAAGGAAAGATTTCTTTTCCTATCCATCACTAGGTTCATAGCTGAGTACTCAGAGAAAGCATATAGTCATATTTCATACAAGTTTAACATGATGAGGGAGCCTTCAGAAATGACCCAAATAGGGACCAGCAGTTAGCGTAATGGCTATGTCGCTGGACTCCCACATAGTCGACCGTGGTTCGAGTCCCAGACCCGGTGGCTTAAACTCATGCCAGATGCGTGTGCGTGCATGCCCAAGATCCTGAGAGGAGAATGGAGGATAAGGGATTGTGTCGTGGCCATCCCCCCTGGGGGGCGATTTCTCGCATTCTATCTCTCTGTCTCTCTCTGTCTGTCTGGGGAGCGCACACGCCCTGTAGCAAAAAAAAAAAGACCCAAATAAACAGTTATACTTGTATTTTTTTTTAAAAAATGTATGATGGCATGTGACAGAAAGAGAAAAGCACCCCACTCCCACCCAGCAGAGTCTAGTCACACTGCCATCCCTTCACTCAGGCCTCCAGCTAGTCAGGGTCCTTGCTGTGTATTCACTCAAAAAGTGTTTCCAGATGACCAGGCCAGTGATCCGAAATGCGACTGTCCGTATGGCTTCCAGCACTGTAGCCTGGCATCCTGCCAACTGGCGGAGACACTGAGCCAACTTGGGTATTTTTATATTTGGATTTGACGAAGTGCGGACTGTCATGGAGATACGTGGTTGGAGGACAGAAGGGTATGGTCCAGTGGTAATAAACTGGGGGATTTAGCAAGGTCCTCCTTAATCTTACCCTCCCTCCATATGTCTGTCTCACTGCTTTTAGGAACTGTCCAAACATCTAAACTGTCTGCTTGGCCTGGCTGCCAGGCCCACTTCTGCCCCATACTGTTCTCTTCCTTTCTGCTACCTTCTGTACTGGCCACAAGACCCAGCACAGTTTCTGTGTCCTCCAGACAGCTTTCCTGGGTGCACCAGTCTTCAGCATCCATTGTTGCCCTCCTTCCCACCGCACTGATCAATCGCCTATACCTGTCATCTCACACGGTTTGCTGTCCATTGTGTTTTAGGCAGACTTTTTCATTGAAGTAAAATGTATGAAGAGGTCTTCAAAAGTTCACAGAAGAATGCATAGTTTAAAAAAGCTAGGCATGACCTTCAAGGTTTTTTTGCACTGAAATGTGTACTTTAATTCCACTTATTCACTAACTTTTTAAAAGCCCTTTATATATGGAAATTACACAGATCACAATATGAAGGTCTCAGTGACTATTCATAAGGGGACCACTCCCATGTCCTCAGTATCCCTTGGTTCTGCTGACACACTTCTAAGCTGGTCCGCACCTGGGAAACAGAGCCATGGAATGTGCTTTTTGGCATGAAAATGATAATATCAGGTGCTCAGCATAATCCCAGTCAGAAACTAGAGCTAATGAAGGAATCTAGGCTTTGTCAAATAAGAAGCAGGTAGAGGGGCCAGGATGTGGTGTGGTGGTTAAAGGCGCTGGACTCCCATATGGTCAATCGTGGTTTGAGTCCTGGACCTGGCAGCTTGCGTACTCACTCGCTCTCTCTCTCTCTTACTCTATCTCTCTCTCACCGTAACTCTGTTCCTCTCTGGTCAAATGAAGAAAGAAGAAAGAAAAGAAAGGAAGGAAGGAAAGTTAAATAAAATAATTCTTTAAAGAAAAAAAAAAAAACCTCTATAGAAATAAAAAGAAGCAGGTAGAAATTTCCATGACCAATTACACAATCTTTTCTTGACAACAAATTAGAAGTAAGATATGCCTCCTCTCTGCTTGATTAGAGATAATATAATTTGGTAAGTCCTGTTCAGGGATTCCTTAGTGGTAACCTATAAACTGGACCTTCAAATCCAGTCCAGATATGTCATGTTCTTTTTTTGATATGTAGATGTACACAGATAGTTACAGCATTAGTTTTAGTTGTCATTTTATTCTACAAATAATTGCAGGTTATATGCAGTATACTGGCTACTTTTACAGTGTATAGTAGCATTCAGTTCCTCTGTCTATAGAGTTTATATTTTAATGAGTCATTAGAAATTGATAGAACTAAAAGAAAAGCTTAAAACTAGAAAGATAGCAGTGACTAAACAATAAGATAATCACAAAAAAATGTTATTAAATCATGTTACTAAGTCATCACGAACATGCAGAGAGAATAACAGGTAGACAGGAAAGGCTAAAATGAAGATTGGCACTAGAGACTTCTAGATAAGAAATTCATTTGCTACGACGTCAAAAAGCATGAAAAAAGATGGCAATTTATGAAGGTAAAATAAATACAAGGTTAAGGAGAGCAGAGAGTTCTTAAAAACATCCTAAAAAATACCTACTTCTCAGTAGAACCTGAAGTTAACAAGGTTCTTGTACTTGGTGGTTCTGGATCTTTGCCCATTATGACCTTCTACCCTTTGCTAAGTTGCTTCAGTGGGTGGTGTCATCTGCCCACTGCCACACAGCCCCCCCCCCCCTGTGGGCCAGGACCAAGGTTGCCCCCTGCCACACAGCCCCCCCCCCTGTGGGCCAGGTACAAGGTTAGAGTCTGACTTCAGCACTCTTTTCTCCAGCCCTCTCATCTTTGTGGAGAATGAGAATGTTCAGTCTCAAATTTTGTAATTATTGCCTTAAAAATGACTTCTCACCTGGCTTTGTTATCAATATATTTACTATTTCCTTTAAACTTGAAGGAAGAAAATGTTCCAGCAAATCATGCTGTCCAGAGGTCATCCACCTAAGGCTCCGTGAACTTAATGATGGGTCACTCGTAGCTTCTGGCTGTGACATCTCCTTTACTTGAAAACATAGGTGCCAAGGGAAGAAGGTAGAGGACCCATAAGCGGCCAGGCCTTGAAAAGGACCTTGTTGGAGTTCCCTTTCAGTTTTGTTTTGTCTCATCTTTATTGCCTCTTTGGTTATGTCGTTTCTGTACCTACAAGGCTGCAGTTCGCAAAGCTATAAATCTGTCAGTTTCATTGACGTGCCTTTCACTTCAAATGAGTGTTCAGCAAAGGGATTAGCAGATAACCATTTCGGGCTGAATTTCTTTACACAGAAGGGTGGCTATGGTTTGAACAGGCTGCCAAGCCAGGAAGAAAGGCTAATTGTGTAAATCAATGCAGGAGATTGCTGATCACCTTTCTGAAAGACAAGACAATGCAGCACACCACCTCTAAATAGATCTTTGGGGTCAAGTTGATGTCATGTTGAAGAATCAATATTTACTGGGTTTTATAAAGTTTGCCTTTAATGAACCTCAGACATTTTGCTAGGTCATTAATTGCAGGGAAAGGAAAGGCAGTAGTGGCTGAAGTCCGTGCATGTGGAGGTTGTTTAAAAATAAGTGAAGACAATCATTTGCTCATGTGCAAAGGTCTCACCTATAGGTTTCGTTCAAGGATTGCTGGGTATGGGCATTCCTAGGCTTCCTTGGGATCTTAAATTTTAAGAGAATAGCATTTTTTACATTTTAAGAGAATAGCATTTCTTACATCCTAAAAGAAGGTAAGCCTCTTACTCTTTGATGCTCATCATTTAGGTGGTATGACTTAATTTTCCTAGGGTGAATTCTGATGTTATTTTGGGTTCTGCCTTACAATGTGCTAATCACAAGAGTAGGTCCCTCTTACTGGCTCATCCCTCTTTCTGACACATCCCAGAGGTTTTATAAAGTGAAGGGTTGTAGTTAAGAGCTTTTACTTTAGGGTCCTGGCTTGAATTCAAGTCTAATTAAAGGCGTTTTTGTTGTTGTTTGTTTTTAAATAAATATTACCATTTGCGCTTCTTCTGTAACCAGCAGTATTTTTCTGGTTGTGCTAGTGAGTGTTCTGTGTTCATTAGGTTGTCTGAATCTTTTGTCGACCAGGAGCCTTATCTTCTGTTTATTTCAGTCATTGCTTCTAATTAACCTTATTGAGTAGGTAGAGAAACGTGTTATGTAAAACGTTACCCTGCCGTAACAAACCAGGATACTAGCCCTGCCAGGCCTGAGTCAGGGTGCGCCCAGCATGTTTGTTACAGTTTTTGGCCAAATCTGCTCAGAGATACATTTTGAATTTGACTTCCTAGACCTCACTATGTATCTTGTCAAGGGAGTCTTTAAATTAATCAGAGAGAAGAGCTGGCTGTTCTTTTCTCACTCCCACCCCCATCTCTCCTTGCCAGGATTGTTATTCAGAATAAGTACTGAAAAGAAAAAGTATGACAGGTTTGTTAGGATTGCTGTGGCTTGGTGTTTTTACAAAAGAATCTGATGTTTAATGTTTTTATCTGTAACTTTTTCAGCTATTCATTCTGGGTTTTTATGCTTCCTTTTCAGTTGTTTGAGAACTTCTACTTTGGCTCCTTAAAACTCAATTCAATTCACATCTCTCAGAGGTTCACAGTAGACAGCTTTGGAAACTACGCCTCCTGTGGACAGATTGACTTCTCCTGAGCTGGATCTTGGAAAGCACTAGAAATTGAGCATCCTCCCAAGGTGCTGAAGATAAGTGTTTTAATTTTATTTTATTTCATTTTTATTATTATTTATTTTTAGAGAGATTTTTTTTTCTATAGGGCACGGGCACTCACCAGAGAGACAAAGAGACAGAAAGGGAGAAATCACACACATAGACACACCAGGGAGGATGGCCATGCTGCAATCCCTTCTCCATTCTCCTTTTGGGATTTGGGGCACACATGCCCTGTGTGTGTTTCAAGCCACCAGTTCTAGGACCCGAACTACTGTCAATTATGTGGGAGTCCAGCAATGCAACCATAACACCATCTGCTGTTTTCCCCCAAAAAAGTATCTTAATTTTAATTGTCAAAGAGGAATGTGGAAATTTGGAAAGTGACCTTCCTGGGTGGATCCCCACACACTCACTGTTGCCTCTAATGGTTGTCCCCAGTCATTAGAGTGTCACAATGGCTGTGTGTACAGGAGAACTTGTGCCTATAGCCTTTGGCTTATTTTTTGTGTTTTTTTATTTGTTTGTTTTGTTTTTAAGAGAGAGATTCTTTTGCTATAGGGCACTTGCACTCACTGTAGAGACAAAGGGAGAGAAAGTGAGAAATCACTTTCTGATGGCCATGCCACAGTCCCTTCTCCTTCATTCTCCTCTTGAGATTCTGGGCACACATGCACATGTGCCCAGTGTAAGTGGTAAGCCACTGGGTCTAGAGCTCGAACCACAGTCAGCCATGTGGGAGTCCAGCACCATAACCACTATACCACCTGCTGGCTCCCTTCTTTTAGGAAAAACAAAACAAAACAAAACAATTTTTAATGTGTAAAGCACATGTAATGTAAAACATACTATCTTTTTAAAAATTAATTATTTATTATAATAATTATTATTTTTTTCTAAGTTTATTCTAGTTTACATGTGCTCACCAGAGAGAAATTGGGGGGGGAGGGAGTAAACTGAGAAAGCAAGCCACCAGCTCCAGGACTCGAACAATGGTTGGCCATGAGGGAGTCCAGTGCCTTAACTACTATACCATCTGCTGGCCCTAAAACTGGTCCTTTTAAAAAATATTTGTTGGAGTCCTCTTCCTTCCCCTCATCCCACCCTTGCCTTCCATCCCCCTGTTGGAATTGCAGTACTGAAGCTCTTTTCTGTTTCCTTCTCAGGGCAGCAGCCACAGAAGCAGTAGCATCAGCGGGATGTGCCAGGTTCCCTGGAAGAATGTCAGCCACAGACCAGCAGGACGGAGTGCTCCCCTAACAGACGCTCCTGTCCCATCAGTCCTTTCCGATGCTCTGCTAGGGAGCTCCAGCCTCTTCTCCCCTTTCTTACTTTCTTCCTCCCTTCATTTCTTCTCCGTTCTTTCTTTCATTTCTGTTCTTATCTTGATTTTTACTTTCTATTCTTTAAGTCTGAGCCCTGTGTGTTAGATTGTGAGGACTGTGTCCTAACACTCAGAAATTTGGTACTAAGCAGAAGTTTGTGAATAAATAAATTTCCAAAGTAACTATGTTTTTCTGTTAGTATTATCACATAGGTTTAAATTGACCCCCTTAGTCAGTGTGTCTTAGGATACAGTGTTGCCATCCCTTATTCGCTGGCCTAGGTATATCATTCATCTAGAACTTATATAGTAGTTGGGGCCTGCAGGTTGATTTTTTTCCCCCAGAAGACTTACGTTTTCTGCTACCGATAATAATTTTGTATTTAAGTTGAGGTTTTACCTCCCCTCACTTCAGACTGTTAGATGCTGAGAATGAGCGTGAGAATGAGCGTTCCCAAGGACAGCACTGACCTGTGAAGCTGACTGTGAAGTTCAGTGCCCCCATCCCATCTTGGTGCTACCTTGCACATTGGTTTCTTTCTGACAAGCCATTGGGCAACCTTGGCAGGGAAGCAAGGATGCCCTCTTTTAGGTGTTGAAGATTTAGGACTTGCATGTGTCAAACTTTTTTTTTTTTTAATTTGCTATAAGATGTGCACTTGTGGGAGAGAGACAGAGAGAGAGGCAGGGAAAGTGAGAGAGCACCCTCCATAGGGATTGTCATTCCACAATCTCATCTCCTCCATTTCTTCCTGCAGGATTTTGGGCATGTGCACATGTATGCCTGGTATGTTTTCAAGCTACTAGGTGTGGGATTCAAACCACGTAGTTGGCTATGGTTGAT